CGCAGTCAAGTAGCACTTGATTATAATAATAAACAGCGCAGTTATGCCCTTAAGATGTATCGCCATCTCCGTCCAGTATAGCCATCGCCTCCAATTGACAGGAGCACATATGGGGAAATGCAAAACCAAACCTGCCACATAGTATAAATCCATTTAAGGTATGTTTATTAAAATTTGGGAAAAAAAAAATTTAAAATTTAAAAAGTATGACAGCTCTACTGTATAAACAAAATACCAGTCCCAAGACGGTGGGTTCTCAGTGAATTGTGACCTCACGTACATTGGCTCCAACCAGTGACATCATCTGGGAAATGCTGAGGTGGATACACTAAATGAAGTGACTTGTATGTTTTCCCGGTTTTTTACACTTTGATATATTGTATAGTAAACATTTACTTCTGACTGATATTAGGAGCACAGCCCTTGTTTCTGAATATTGTATAACCATTGATATCTAGTGGTGTGCTGGCAGCTTTATTTTGTTTCTTTTCACCCATTTGTGCATACTGCACTTTAATTAAAGTCCATTCCCTTATATTTAAAGGATTATATACTTGTAAGCAGAATTATAGGATAGCTTAAAGTGGTCATAAAGGCTTTTTGTTTATTATTTTTAAGAAAAAAAAACACATCCTGTCACCGGCTCTCTAAAGGTTTTGCACAGAACAGCCCCAATCCTCCTCCTCCGGTCCCATGCTGGTGCTTCTGGCCCCTCCCCCTGGTGAATGCCACCAGAGAAAGCTGCTAGCTCCGAGGGCACTGTTGAGTGCTCGCTCCCAAGCTGCATCTGTGTGTTTATGAAACACACAGAGCATGGCTCAGCCCTACCCCCTCCTCACTGGGTGTGATTGATAGTAGTGGGAGCCAGTGGCTCCTGCTGCTGTGTCTCAGCCAAGGATGAGAGAGTCCAGGAGAGCCTCGGCTCTCGTGCACATCACTGGATTGGGCTCAGGTAAGTAAAAGGGTGGGTTGCAGGGTGGGGGGGGGGTGTTTTTCACACTGAAGGTTTTTTAGCTTCATGCGTAGAATACATAAAGGTACACAATCCTTCAACCTCCCTGAATGCTTTAAAGGGCTTTATTCATGTTCTTTACATTATTTTCATTTATGAATGTTCTTTTTAATATGGAAAGTAGTAAAATATCACATATTATGGTAGATGGAGCAGGGAGGGAATAATAACATTTACACATGTCTTTGTAATAAGAGATACAAGGTAACATTCTAGAGAAGGATAGAGGGAATTTACAAATGTATCCGAGATTACGTATGATGATAAATTATGATTGTAACCACTTGGGGACCAAGCCTTTTCTGGCATTTTTTTGTTTACAAGTATAAATCAGTATTTTTTGCTAGAAAATTACTTGGAACCCCCAGACATATATACGTATATGTGTATGTATATATATATATATACAGTTGTGACCAAAATTATTCAACCCCCACTGAAATTGAGTGTTTTGGCCAGTTTGACATTGCTTTTGATCATTCAGTCATCTTGCTTACATTTACATTAAAGAGGCACTTGTAGGTCAGACAAATATAACATAACAGTTATAATGAAATAACCACAAATGTCTTTTCTGTGCTCACAGCATTATCAGTTTTATTCAACCCCCAAGTGACATTCAATCTTAGTACTTAGTACAGCATCCTTTTACAGTTATAACAGCTTTTAAACGTGAAGCATAGCTTGACACAAGTGTCTTGCAGCGATCTACGGGTATCTTCGCCCATTCTTCATGGGCAAAGGCCTCCAGTTCAGTCACATTCTTAGGCTTGCGCACTGCAACTGCTTTCTTTAAGTCCCACCAGAGGTTCTCAATCGGATTTAAGTCTGGTGACTGCGATGGCCACTCCAAAATGTTCCAGCCTTTCCTCTGCAACCATGCTCTAGTGGACTTGGAGGTATGCTTGGGATCATTGTCCTGTTGAAAGGTCCAACGTCTCCCAAGCCTCAGGTGTGTGACGGACTGCATCACGTTTCCATCCAATATCTCCTGGTACTGAAGAGAATTCATGGTACCTTGCACACGCTGAAGCTTCCCTGTACCTGCAGAAGCAAAACAGCCCCAAAGCATGATTGACCCTCCACCATGCTTCACAGTAGGCAAGGTGTTCTTTTCATCATAGGCCTTGTTCTTCCTCCTCCAAACATAGCGTTGATCCATGGGCCCAAACAGTTCTAATTTTGTTTCATCAGTCCACAGAACACTATCCCACAACTTTTGTGGTTTGTCCACATGGCTTTTGGCATACTGCAGTCGACTCTTCTTATTCTTTGGAGACAGCAAGGGGGTACGCCTGGGAGTTCTGGCACGGAGGCCTTCATTACGCAGTGTGCGTCTTATTGTCTGGGCTGAAACTTCTGTACCCACATCTGACAAATCTTTTCTCAGTTCCTCAGCAGTCACACGGGGACTTCTCTCCACTCTACGCTTCAGGTAGCGCACAGCAGTCGAAGTCAGCATCTTCTTTCTGCCACGACCAGGTAGCGTTTCAACAGTGCCCTTTGCCTTGAATTTGCGAATGATGCTTCCTAAGGTGTCTCTTGGTATGTTTAACATCTTTGCAATCTTCTTATAGCCATTGCCCTTCCTGTGAAGAGAAATCACCTCTTCTCTTGTCTTCCTGGACCATTCTCTTGCCTTCACCATGTTTGTAACCACACCAGTAAATGTCTAGAAGGAGCTGAGTATCACAGTCATTTTAAAGCTGCCTAATTGGTGCTTATTATGCTTGATTGCTGCTCGGTGACATCCACAGGTGTTTTCAATACCTGATGGAAAGCACCTGTATGAACCTCTGTTCTTCAGAGTGGTAGTCTTTAAGGGGTTGAATAATTGTGGCAATGAAGAAACCACATAAGAACCATTTACTACTGTATTACATAAACAATTGATGTCATTTTAGTTGCATTTGGGTAGTTACAACGTCCTTGTAGGATTTGATTCTGAATACAATTCCAAATGTACACTATAGTCCCTAAACCCCTTTACAGCATTGGGGGTTGAATAATTTTGGTCACAACTGTATATATATATATAAGCAGGGAAATTAGAAAATAAAATGGCGATTGTTGTAATACTTTGTCACACGGTATTTGCACGATGGTTTTTCAAACACAATTATTTTGGGAAAAAAAATACACTTCAATGAATAAAAAAAACACAACGTACTATATACCCCAATTTTTTGTAAAATATGAAAGGCGATGTTACACCGAGTAAATAGATACCTAACATGTCACGCTTTAAAATGCACACACTTGTAGAATGGCAACAAACTACAGGACCTAAAAATCTCCACAGGCAACACTTTAAAAATATTTACAGGTTATGTGTTCTAGTTACAGAATGGGTCTAGCACTTGAATGATTGCTTTTGTGCTAATGTTCGTGGCGATACCTCACATTTGGTGCTAACACAGTTTACATACGTGTGAGCAACTTACGTTCTCTTCTGCACACAAGCACAGGGGGATGGGGGCACTTTACTTTTTTCTTATTTATTTTTACAATGTTCCTTTTTCATTTTATTTTAATAATTTTTATTCCTGTTACAAGGAATGTAAACATCCCTTGTAATAGAAAATAAGGGATGAAAGGTCCTCTTTTTGGAGAGATCTGGGGTCAATAAGACCCCAAATCTCTCCTCTACCTTTTAAAGCAAAAATTTGATCTTTTTGCCTTAAAAAAAATGTTTTTCTGCCTTAAACCGACAGTGACATCATGACGCTGCTTCGGTCCTCCTAGATCATAGAGGTAATCAGAGATTATCTGATCTCCCTTCATCTTCTATGGCCAGCTGTACGAACCATCAGATCGTTTCCCGAGCTGACCGGTAAGCAAGAAAAAAACGAGTGGCAGGATGGAGGTGACCCCTCACGCTGCTTCTAAAAGTAAACCAGCAGCTAATCAGCTGCTCAGATCACTTTTTATGAGAAAAAGAGTTGTCAGCTGAAAAAAAAAAAAATACCAGCTTTATGGCTGACAGTTTCAGCCACAACCCCGGTAAACCACTGCAAAGCCGCAATGTATATATACATATTGCATTCTTGAAGTGTAAAGCCTGAACATTTTTTACCTTTAATTTGCATTAGTGTAAAAGATGTTTCAGTATGTGTATTGCCCCTTCACCCCCAGTATACTTACCTGAGCCCGCTATTGATCCAGAGCTGTGCCCATTTTTAGCAGCTCTCTTCTCTTCCCCTTGCTCTCACAGGCTTTGCGTGAGTCATTGGCTTCCACTGCTGTCAGTGAAATCCTGTATGAGATGCAGGCAGCGCTGCTCGGGAGTGAGCCTGCAGGTGTGCCACAAAAGAAAGTGGCTATCTATGATGGCACATAGAGACGAGGAGGAACCAGGAGCGCCAACGAGGGAGCTGAGAAGAGGAGGATTAGGGCTGCTGTGTGCAACGTAACATTTGTTTTTTTTCTTTAGTTGTGGATAGAATGAAGAGGGATTAGAACACCTGTTAGGCTTTTATTGCTTTTGTGTGCCCTTGTTCAGGAGATTCACCCTTACTATTTGTTTTGTTTACTGCTATCATCGAGACTGAAATATAATCTCCAAATTTTGGTTGTCGCCAGAACAGGAATGGAGGGGAATTATCCATTGGGGACACTAGTCCTGGTAACAAACAGGAATTCCCCCACTTTAGGAGATTTCCTCTCATTTCCTGGTTTGGCTATGGGACAAGTAAAGGGAAGTCCTGCAATGTGACACAGATGGCAAAAAAAAAGCTGACAGGGTTATAACCCCACTTACACTGTCCACAATGGGGGGAAAAAGTTTTGCATTCAGTTCAACCTTAACTTTATATGGGATTTAATGATATGTTTAGCTGTTATATTTTTACAATATGGTATATCATTTATATAATATAATATAGTATTAGTCTTATAAATGTAAAATAGGTGCCTGTAGATAAGTACGATGTGACAAGTCCATGAATCATGTGCCACCTGTAATGTTTAAATGTGACTCCAATTTTAGGAACAATGCGAGATGGGCGGCTGCTGAGACACTTTACAAGAAAACGACAGAGAGCCATGAGGCGGAGGGTGCACCAAGTGAATGGACACAAGTTTATGGCAACTTACCTGCGACAGCCAACCTACTGCTCTCACTGCAAAGATTTCATTTGGTAAGGTTCACCTATAAGGCAGCCTTTATGGTACAGTCAGTGTATGCTGGGACAATCATGGTTTAGATAAGGGTTCAGCCTGTAATTACATTTATAATTGTACACTGACTTCATGGTTTTGCCTTTGTCAGCTGTTAAAACATGAGTGCTGCCCAGCATGTGGATGCAGAATTACTCATTGATATCCATGTGGTCCCTGTGTCTGTAGCACTGTAGCAGCATCAGGGCTGTGTTAGTTTTGCAGCATGCTTGGGGAGGGGGTTTGCCTTGAGCGTTTACACTGGGGGCCTGATTGGGTTCCCTGGCGCACCAGCCTGAACAGTGAGGGGTTTTGCTGGGTCCTGAAATGGAAGAATCTTCTAGGATAGGCCTGTGCTAGAAGGCAAAGGGAAGTCCTACTGCAGAGTGCCATGAAAGCAAGCCCAGACTGGAACCCTGACAAGCCTTGCAAAGCCCAGTGGACCTCAGGTCTGCACTGAGGGCGGGAGCTGCCCAACTGTTTTTGGTAAAAGGCGAGTGACCCGCTTGTTAATATTAAAGGTTGGGCAGCTGACGTTCCCCCCTGTAGACCTTCAGTGCCTCCCGCCCTCCTCCCTGCAGCGAGTTCAGCAGCAACGAGTACACGCAGAAGAGGAGTCCACCCTGCCATTCCTCCTGCTTTCTTCCCTACGGTGACTTCAAGAGCAGTGGCAGCAGGACAGATCACACAGAAGAGGAGTTCACCCTGCCATTCCTCCCACCCTCTTTCCTGCTGTGAGTTCAGTGGCAGGAGAATACATTCAGAAGAGGCGTCCACCCTGCGATTCCTCCTGCCCAGCGGCAGGAAAGGTCACACAGAAGAGGAATCCACCCTGCCATTCCTCCCGCCCTCCACAATGCTGGGATTCTTAACAGCTGCAGCGGCAGGAGGAGAGGAGTCCACTCAGGCTGCTAAGTGGTACAGTCGCGGTCCGGACAGGTCTGTCACTCGGTCCGTGTCCGGACTGCAATCCACCATTTAGTGATGCCTGCTCTAGAGGTTGGTGTGTGTTGAGAATGGCCAGCTGCTCCTGGGCCAGTGGAATGACATAGAGCGCACACGTTTTCTATACTTGCTTGTTAACCTTTTGTATTCTCTGCCTTTTTAGCAAGATTGTTTTCACAGAAGTTCACTCTTATCAGGAAATGTGAATATAGATTAGAAAGCTATGTCTCCAGCCACCTTTTCACTAGGGTGACAGGTGCTTTCTATAATGGGGCTTGTATAAGAAGCAGAAGGTAAAGGGCCTGCAGCCTCAATATCTCCTTTATTTCAATAGTCTTGTTGTGGTTGGAAATTGTAAAATGTCTAACTGAGGTTCTTACACCCATTCTTTTCAAAGTAAAAAGAAAATGGCTTTTTTTAATGGAGTCCCAGTAATAAACATAATTGAACTCTAAATTACTTTATATCAACTGTCTGGTAAAAAAAAAACAAACACAACCCCCCCTCACTCCATAAAACTGTAATTTACACAGAATCCAAGGCACATGGAAGATATTGATCAGTAATTGGTATAAAGTATAGACAATGCTTATAAATTAGGATTACATGACAGTACAGGATATCCAGAAATGGATAGGAATAGGAGATGTCGGTCCAGTCGTCGTTATCCAGTTCCACTTGACTCATCCAAAGTTCATTATGTCCTTTAAAATGATTGTTATGTTTAAACCATTTATTTTAATGAAGTGTTCATCTTTAGAGGTCAATGTTGTGATAGTATAAATGCCTTTATATAAAACCCAAATATACTGTCAAAGAATTTAAAACAACCTCAAAGACCACATCAAAGGTCATCTTAGTTCTGAGCAGAGGACAAGAATCAAAGGGAATCTCTCTAACAGGCACACACAACACAAAGACATCTCAGTTTGGCCTACTCTGCTTTCCAAATTGTATTTTTTTAATTTTGCACAGAGGTTTTGCATTTCCAACTAGGGAATAATTTTTTTACTTTCTTTATTCACAGTACAGGCATACTAGCCAATATTAAATGTTGCAGTGGTTATAGAAGTATATAAAAGCACAGCACTGATCTCGGACATTCTCCGTAGGGCATGCATCCTGGCATTTTACAGCACAATGTAAAGAGGTTGGACTTTAAATGCTGTTAAAGGGACTTTTTGGTACTTATTGACAGAATGTTCTGTCACACGTGTCCATCACTTGACATACAGGACAGCAAATTAATAAACTCTGTGTATATGTTATATTTTCCCCTTAAGAAACAACACCTGCAAGGTCAAGACTTACTTTGAAAGGTTCCTTTCAGCAGATCTCCTACATCCACTCTTGAGAGAACAAAATAGGTGGTCTAGCAGATATGAAAATTGTTGGTTGTTTTGTGAGCTTGGCTTTTGTATGTATGTGTATATGCATGTATGGGCATCTTTTTTTTTCCTCCTCATTCAAACCTTTTTTTTGAAGCAATTGTCAAATGCAATGCACAGTTGTTGTTTTTTTTTGTTTGTTTGTTATTTAAATCAACGTTTAAACCTTAGTTCTCAACACAAACAACCATGAATGGAAAGCTAAGGCTCTGCTTACCTCCGTATTAGCTGCAGTGTTATTCTTAGAACAGCTCCCCATCTTCTGTATTTTTTAATCTTCTCTTTTCAAAATAAGCTTCTTTCCACCAGACTGTTCAGTACAGGAGAGATCATTTTTTTTCCACCACAGTTTCCCTCAGAAGGTACACCATCTCTTTGTAAGTGCAGACTTTGATGTCACCATACAGTAGTGCCTGCCCTAGAGTCAGCTCAGGTCGCTGCACTAAAAACCTCCATCTTGCTTAGGATGTAAAGTGAAACAACGTATTCCTACCTCTTTGGTATGCATTCATGAGACCATCCATGGGTCATAACTACAGTTGCAAGAAAAAGTATGTGAACTCCTTGGGATTACGTGGAGTTTTGCATGAATTGGGCATAAAATGTGCTCTGAAAGTCATCTAAGTCACAACAATAGAAGAACACAGTCTGCTGAACATAATACTACACAAACATTAGATGTTGCCATGGTTTAATTGCACATAACATGTAAACATTCACAGTGCAGGGAGGAAAAAGTATGTGAGGCCCTAGCTTAATGACTTCTCCCAGAGCTAATTGGAGCCAGGAGTGAGCCAACTTTGACTCCAATCAGTGTGATGATATTGGATGTGTTGCTGACAGCTGTCCTACTCTTAAAAAAACACACACCTGTTTTGGGTTTACTGGTTTCAAGAAGCACTGTCTGATGTGAACCATGCCTCGCAGAAAAGAGCTCTCAGAAGTCCTACGATCAAGAATTGTTGACTTGCATGAAGCTGGAAAGGGTTACAAAAGTATCTCCAAAAGCCTTGATGTTCATGTGTCCACGGTAAGACAGACTGTCTACAAATGGAGAAAGTTTAGCACTGTTGCTACTCTCCCTAGGCGTGGTCGTCCTGTAAAAATGACTGCAAGAGCACAGCACAGAATGCTGCATGAGGTAAAGAAGAATCCCAGAGTGTCAGCTAAAGACCTACAGAAATCTCTGGCACATGCTAACATTTTTGTTGACACATCTACAATAAGGAAAACATTAAACAAGAATGGAGTACATGGGAGGACACCACGGAGGAAGCCATTGCTGTCCAAAAAGAATATTGCAGCACGTTTGAAGTTTGCAAAAGAGCACCTGGATGTTCCACAGCACTACTGGCAAAATATACTGTGGACAGATGAAACCAAGATTGAGTTGTTTGGGAAGAATACACAACACTATGTGTGGAGAAAAAAAGGCACAGCACACCAACATCAAAACCTCATCCCCACTGTAAAACATGGCGGAGGGAGCATCATGGTTTGGGGCTGCTTTGCTGCCTCGGGGCCTAGACGGATTGTTGTCATTGATGGGAAAATGAATTCCAGAGTTTATCAAGACATTTTGCAGGAAAACGTACGACCATCTGTCCGCCAACTGAAGCTCCGCAGAGGATGGGTGATGCAACAGGACAATGACCCAAAGCATACAAGTAATTCAACAAAACAATGGCTGCAACAGCACAGAATACGCCTTCTGGAGTGGCCCAGTCAGAGTCCTGACCTCAACCCGATTGAAATGCTGTGGCATGACCTTAAGAGAGCGATTCACACCAGACATCCAAAAGAGGGTCAACCAGTTATTAAGTCCAAAGGTTCACATACTTTTTCCTCCCTGCACTGTGAATGTTTACATGTTATGTGCAATTAAACCATGGCAACATCTAATGTTTGTGTAGTATTATGTTCATCAGACTGTGTTCTTCTATTATTGTGACTTAAATGACGTTCAGAGCACATTTTATGCCCAATTCATGCAAAACGCCACGTAATCCCAAGGGGTTCACATACTTTTTCTTGCAACTGTAATAAGGCTTTAATGATAACACAAGTACCCTAAGAGCTTAAAATTGGGTTGCCCCAAAAACAGACCTGGATGATCCACAATGCAATAAAGGGCCCAGCTTCAGTCTTCACCTTCATTAGATAAACTGGAGAAAAGCAAAATTGGTTAAAGCTGTGCACCTGCCTGTCACATCACAAGGGGCGAATGCATTTGTAGCCATTTGCAGCCTGATGTGGTGGGCTATACCAATGAAGACAATGTGGATGTGGCGGCTTCTGTGTGATCATTGAAAACCTTATCAATGACAATCGAAAGAATGGAGGGTGAAAGCTGCTACTTTGCTTATTTTGTCTTTATTCCATCCCTGCCCCAAAGAACTGCACATCTCTAGTGAGACCTTGGTTTTGTTGGTACAGCAGAGGTGAAGAGCTCATCAGGGAGTCCTTCTCAACTGGCTATATGACTAGGTTCCTAGGAGACAATCTGGTCCAAGGCAATGGCTTAAAATAGCAATTGGTGGAAAGTTTGCCTGTATATTGTGGAAAATAATTCGGAAAAGAATGTGCTTGTGGTACTGTTACAACTGTTCTAACCCAGCTGTAGAATCTTGATGACAGAAACTGAATAATGCTAATTTTTTTTGTTCATTACAGGGGAGTGTTTGGCAAGCAGGGGTATCAGTGTCAAGGTAAGGTAACCAGTTCCAGTATCATTTATCTGATGGGCATGAGTTGTAGATAAGATATAGACACAAAAGACTTTCTACATAACTTGGAAATGCTTGCATGCAAAGCAAATGCATATCTCAGTTACTCATTTTTATATCCCAAGATGCAAGATGAGAATGAGGCAACACTATCGGGTAGATATATGGTTCTCGCCTATCTCTTACCCATCTTAGTTGTTAAAGTATTGACTTTCACATACACATAATGGCCCAGCGTTGTGTTTGCCATACTTTAAGCTTCAATTAAATAATGTATTCCTGACCTTCAATTACTGTATACACAATACTTCTTTGCAATACAAGCCAATGCCTTGTCTTTTCAAAAAAAAAGCTGCAAGTACTGAAAAACACCTGATGATAAGCCTGAAATCCAGCAAGTTTCTAACTTCTGTTTTAGCGAACGACATGGTGACTCTGCTGCTTTGAAACCAGTGTTTTCAGCCCTGCACACTTTCTTCAGATAGTCTACAGAACACCTCCACTTCTCTTCCTTTCCGTCGCACAAGGGGGATGTTTTTCTGTAGTCCACAGAAGAGAATTTTAGTGTGCAGTCAGTTCAAATGGTGAAGTTAAGGGGCTTACTGAATATTTGGCAGATCAACAGGTATGTTTCTGTACTTGCAGCATAATGTGCATTTATTGAAGTGAGTTACTGAATATTTTTGAGATCTAGGATTTGGTGTGCCATAGAGGTCCAAGGGGTTGGTCCCAAAATACCAAAATATGGGCTGTTGGTCTATGGTGCAGCTCGGGTTGTCCACCAGAAAATAAAAAAGGGAGGCAGGGGAGCCCTTACAGTGTAGTTCGTTGGCTCAAAAGGTAAAAGGAAAACACAAGAGTAACTTGCATGTGTTTGAGGCTGTGGTCGCCCTATGGAGTGGAAACATACCTTCTGAGTGTGCATGTGAAGAAAACCTTGTCTCCATGCAGGATTTGGTTGGTCATTCCCAGTGCCACAAGGGTTCCAATTCTGGATCCTCTGAAGGTTTTTCAGGTATGTGGGTGAGTTAAGAGGTCTAAAAAAAAAAACAAAATCTTGTGGTAGACCAATCGGCAAGGTTCTCAGTTGTTGTTATATGTCTAAGGTTAGGTTAGCGTAATCTGGTTTGATGAATGTCGAGTTTTGTGGCTTCATATTGCCACTTCTTTGTTTGAAACTGTACGATCATGCCATACGATCAGGCTGGATGTGTACTGTAGTGCTATCGTACGTTTTCTAACATCATCAGTGTTTTTGGTGAAAAAAAAAAAAAAGCAACCTTGAACTCATGAAACCAGATGTCTTCCACCCAGGGGCGGACTGACCATTTGGAAACTCGGGCACTGCCCGAGGGCCCGGGGTCAGTAGGGGGCCCCATGAGATGCCCCTGGTACCTTTTTCATGACTTTTTTGAGTTTGGGCAAGGACACAGGGGCCCCATGATCCCCTATTGCCCAGGGGCCCATGAGTTGTCAGTCCGCCCCTGCTTCCACCTATCCCTAGACATGACAATGGGAACCTTCTACTACTGATGGACTTTTTAAAGACCTCTTTTAACATGCTAAATATTTATTTATTTATTTATTTTTTTACTTTGCTCGGATATACGCTTCACACACACCTGGCCTACACTTGTAGTATGTTAAATACACCTTTTCTTATGGGAACATTTCTGTCTGCTGCATTATATGTTTCTGATAAGGATGAGATCAGTCAAAATCTATGTAATCTTTGTAAAGTCATAAAACTGATTACTGTTGCTAGTGACAACAAACTGTTATATGTATCTGGGTCTTTGTCTGAAATACAACATAGGTTGGAAACTTTTTCATTAGAGCTACAAACCCAAGTAACAAGGCAGTCACATAGGAACGACCATGACTAGATGGAGAAGGTTATGTTAACATTGTAAATAAGATAAGACATCTAAAATGAATATGCATTGCACTTATCAAGATGGCATAATTCAAAGGTTGTGCTTTGAACGCTGTTCAGACTGACAAGTATCTCTTCCCTGTTGGTGAAGTTTCATTTTGGAAAATTCCTCAAAGAGAAATTTGTGTCTGCTGATTAATAAATTTGTAGTCTTTAAAGCTGAGCTCTACATAGGTCAAATAAAAACAGATTTAATGCATTTTTGTATTTCTTTAGCAAATATTGAAATTCATTTTTACGTATAGCTAGCATAAGTACCTGAATCTGTCTCAGTAGTGGCCAATGTCAACCCTTGCACAGTAGCACTGAGAGAGTGGCAGTACAAGGAGCTAATGGAGCTCTGCTACACGCACATGTGCATGTATGTACTTCAAGAATCCTGTGATCTCTGGAGTTAATTCTACAATACAAGGAAGTTACCAGCCTGTATCTATAGGTCAAAGATCATACCTGATGTAAATGGTTTAGGTCCATAGTGCTAGCAGTGTTGACACTTTGTTTTCATCTCCCCCTTGCCCTGAATGAGCCATTCACTGGGGAGCAACGGCAGCACAGGAAGACCTCAGCCTTATGTCATGAAGGATGAATGAAGGTCGAGGTCATTCTGCATTACCATTACCTAGTGACTGACTCATTCAGGGTCAGGGGGGATGTACACCTAAACGATGTGTCCTTAAAGCAGAACTTCACCCCAAAGGGGAAGTTCCATTTTTCCTTCCCCACCCGCTATTTTTTTGGAGGGGAGCAGGTACCTTGTGTTGATAGGTACCCATTCCCACTTCTGCTCGGATTACCTATGCAATAAAGGCCGAGTTCCTCCCACCCACAGCCTCTTGGGACACATCACAGGTCCCAGAATGCTGCTGGACCATTCACACAGCACAGTGTGGGTCGTGCATGTACACTGGGAGGCCATCTGTGAGGCCGCAAGAAGTCATAGCCGGCTTCCACAATTAGCATAGCAGAACCAGGGACCCGAAGACCAGAAAAGAACAGGCCCGGGAGAAAATCGTGCTGGATCCCTGGACAGGTAAGTGTACTTTTATTAAAAGTCAGCAGCTACAGTATTTGCAGCTGCTGACTTTTTCATTTTTTTTGGGGGGGGGGGACTGAAGCTTCTCTTTAAGTGACACTAGGCAGCATGAACATGTTCCGACTATTAAAGTTCACAAAAATGTTTACTTGCGTACCGCATAAAATATGGAATAAAACCAGATAGCAGACGCACAATGTAGCTCAGCAATAGGTGGAAAACTGACTGCAATGCAGCTGCGTTCACGGGCCTATAGCCTACAATATTGCTGTTTTCATGTCCGTATAAAACTATACATAGTACAGATCTGAATGCAGCATTTTATACACCCGTGTTCATGAGCCCTTATGCTTACTTTAGTTTTATATACAAGATATTCTAAGATCTCATCTTGCAGAATAAAGCATCCTCACATGATTTGTCAAATGGAAAAAATGTCTGACAGTCTCTGCTTTCTACAGCAGCCAATCCGATTACTCCTTTCATCCTCCCATGCTCTTAGGAAGGAGCCTGAGTAAATGCTGTGATCCAGCGCAGATTGTCGGAGACAGATACTTTAATAAATGGGGAGCTTTGTGTTGATCAGTTGCAGTCTGATGGATATCAATGTCATCCATGCACTCAGCAGTTCGGTTGGCAGTGTGAACAATGCTGTCTCTATATTTTAACTTTCAGTGATAGAATGGTTCCAGAATCATTTGTGTGGCTGCAGTTATTGGATAGTCTGAATAATTCAATTAGCTGCAAAGAGTAGGTCAGAATCTGCAGTTATTCGCATGTTAACTGACCCTGTGTAATACAGGCATTAAACATTCAACTCTTTGAAGTCAGTTTTTGCACTTCTAAAGAATAAATAATTTTTATAAATATAATCCTTTGTAGATTTCTTTAATCCCATCCCACCAACCATACGCACATATACAGCCTCACTGAAGTGAGTCTTCTTTGGTGGGGCCACATATATTCGTATGTGTTTGTGGTGAGAATGTACTGCACTGCGTCCTCCAAGCACAGAGACCAAGCTGTCACCATCAGCTCTAGGTCTCATACTTACTGGGTGCTTAGAGGGATCAGCTCTTGATAGCCATTGGCGATCACAGTGATCAATCGCTGGACAGTCTACATCCGTGTTCTTTCTCCTCTTAAATGGAGATCATCATATTCTCCTTGCTAGAGAAGATTGTTTTTTTTTTTTTTTTACACATTCTAGATCAGGCTTTGATCTAGGTAAGGGTTAGGATCAAGGTTAAAGTCAAGGTTCAGGTCAAAGGCCGAGGTCAGTGTGTTTTAGGTAGGATATAAAAAGTGAAACATGCATTATTGTCTCTGGTCCCTATTACTATGTATCACTATGTCAACAGTAAAGTGATGAATTATTATCCACTTGATTAGTGTTCATTTAATTTAATCCAGCCTCTGCTCACCTTGACAGGGTGTATGTTCCTTTGCTGTCATCCTGATTCCCTATTCACTTTCAAGTGGATCATTGAGCAAATGTGCAGCCAGTGAGCTTTGAAGTGTCTGGAATGCAGACCCTTAGAACAAGTCAGCAATTGCTAGGCCATCCTAGAGAGCCATAGTGTAAAATTAGAAGTCCGATTCATTCATAAAGTTGCTTTCGCTGTGTTGCTGAATGCTGATTTTTGGTTGGGTGATATGTATAACTGCACACACAACAGTCTTTGCTCTGTCATTAAACAATTGCTAAAGGAGCCTGTCCCCAAAGGCAAGTTGGCCAACACACCCTGATGCATGAAAACCCTTTTCTCAGTAAACCTTGCCAGGTTTTTCAGTAATATCTGAAAGTTTCCCTCTGGCTGAATTGATGTGGTTTCTGTGTGTGCATCATGGAAACACATGCATTCAACTGAAGCCATTGTAACACTGTCACTACTATTTAAAAAAGCCCATTTTGCAGGCTGATCTGTCGTCCCAACAGGAAACCACACTGGTGACTATATATGAGAACTAAAAAGAACTTTCTTGCAGTTTCCCTGCTTTCTCGATACAGTTTAAAAGAACCACTTTTTTAACCAATACACTTTTCAACAGTTTTTTTTTTCTTTAGATGTATAGTTCAAAGTGACCAACTTTATGTTAATAATGTATGTCCATTTTTTTTTTTTAAAAAAACCTTCTTTCTGTTTAAAGTTGTTAATTTTAAATGGGCAGGCTAGCAGTAGGTAAAGTGTACCATTGGCCCTGCTCTGTTTTCAGTTCATGGGCTTCCTACCAGTTTCCTGGGATCATGCAATACAGGTCAGGCATTTCATGATTACAAGTACAGGGAGTATGCATGTGTATTGTATAGGATTATTTGAATACCTTCTATGTGACCCTGTCAATACAAAGAAAATCTTAAAGCAGCCTTACCTATGAAAGAAGTCTGTGGATACATACGTTTTCTGTTGCCCTTCCTGAAGTCTGATACTTTGGTAAGTTTTGATCTCCTGTGACCCCTGCAGCTCTTAAAGGTTCCTCCTGGTGACCTCTATATCCTCTGTAGTGATAAGCTTGGGTGTGGATCAAACCTGAGTTCATCCCAAAGGCAGCTTTTGCTCCCCGGCTAATGAGCTGTGGGTGAAGGACTCACAGCCCAACAGCTGGTTGTACACAAAAAGGTAGGGATACTTGTGACATCATTGACCTAATAAGGCCATGTTGGGTTAATTATGTCACTAGCATCCCTGCTCCTGTGTATACATGCAGCTGTGGGGTGAGGAATCCCCCACTCACAGCTCAATGGACCGGCACTACCAAATCACATCCAGGTTCACCGAACATGAGTTCAGTCCACACCTGGAGCCAAACCCAAGCTCATCTGTAGTTACTACTATATGCTGTCATGGTTGGAGGTCAGAGGGAATAACCAGTGAGAGCTGCAAGGGACCCAGGAGGTCGGCTCCCCCTAGAAGTATAAGATTCCCTTTGGGCTTCTGCACAAGAATTCTTAGGATCTGCACTCACCGGCCACTTTATTAGGTACAGTTAGTTCAATTGCTTGGTAACACAAATTGTTAATCGGCCAATCACAAAGCAGCAACTCAATGCATTTAGGCATTTAGACATGATGAAGATGAGTTGCTAAAGTTCAAACCAAAGAAAGGGAGTTTAAGTGACTTTGAATGTGGCATGGTTGTTGTCAGACAGTCTGGTCTGAGTATTTTAAAAACTGCTGATCTACTGGGATTTTCCCGCACAACCAGCTCTAGGGTTTACAGAGAATGGTCCAAAAAAGAGAGAATGCCCAGTGAGCGGCAGCTTTGTGGACGAAAATGCCTTGATGATGTCAGAGGAGAATGGTAAGACTGGTTACTGTGACATTCAGATGGTAGGATCGGAATTTGGGGTAAACCACATGAAAACATGGATCCATTCTGCCTTGTATCAATTCAGGCTGGTGGTGCTGGTGTAATGGTGTGGGGGATATTTTCTTGGCACTAGCAAGGTGTACCTAATAAACTGGCCGGTGAGTGTAAGTGGCAATCAAGGATACAGACAGAAGGAAAGGAAAGTATTCATTCATGGACTTCTGTTACAGGTATGTCTGGGTTTATGATCTTTGCTATAGGGTTGCTTAGAAGGAAACCTTTACTAAGAGAGGATAGTACTACTAATCACATTCTGAAGAAGTCTATAGGTTTCTTATTCACTGAAGTTTGTGGTGGCTTTATACAGATACTGTCACTTTGCCCAAATTTAGTGTCTCTTTAGCTGCCTCCTTTCTGTTGCTTTCACCACCTTTTTACCCTCCAGAGTATAGAGAAGGAGCCTCATGTAAGCTCCAAGTTGCTCTGGTCAGAGCATATACAGGGCTAAGGGCTCTCCCACAAAGCAGCCCTTGGACCTGAAGATTGGCCACTAAAGCACCCAGTACTGCATCAGTGGAAGAAGGGGAAGGAGTCCATACTGGGCATGTCTTTGTAGCCTAGTAAGGGAAAGTTAGCATGTGCAGTTGGGAGGAGGACAAAATAGTATGCAAACCCCAACATTGAACTTATTTTCTTCCTTTTTGATCTGTTAAATGTACCATTAAAACTTTTTATTCTATCTGATTGATCTGTGCAAAAACATGTTCATGCTGTCAGAAACTCAGAGCTGGCCTGTGTACACTTCCTTTATTATCTCAAGGAGTCTCCTTAGCTCTCCTAGTCCTTATATTGGACCAAGAGGCTGTTGATCCCTATGCTGTGGAGATTAGATAAATATTCAGTAGTTTAACACATCCAGCACAACCAGGCTGACAATTTATTGCAATTCCAAACTGGAAAATACACTGTTGTCAGCGCGAACAGAAAATTAGTAGAGTGCATTTTTAACAGATCAATTTTTTTTTGTACTTGAATGGTCCTGAACATGGCAAAATGTACATGTATTTTAGATATGTACTTCACATATTTTTTCTGTTGCGTTGATCACTTTGGCTTTTTCTGGCGTTAACATGGGTTGACAGATGTGCTTTAAAAAGTTGAGCTACATTACGGTACTTAACCCTTTGGGTGCCCATTTTTAGCAGTATGTAGATCAGGGGCGGTCCGACCATTTGGAAACTCGGGCACTGCCTGATGGCCCAGGGTCAGTAGGGGGCCCCATGAGATGCCCCTGGTACCTTTTTCATAGGCTTTTTTGAGTTTGGGCAAGGACACATGGGCCCCATGATCCCCTAATGCCTGGGGGCCCGTGAGTTGTCAGTCCTCCCTAGGTGTGGATACCACTAATTGCTGGAAATTCATAAAGTGCTGCAGTATGAAGCCTGCAGTGTCCCACTGAGCGGTCTCTGCATTACCCTTCAGAGAAGCCTTTGTAATTGGTTGGAAGAAGGGTCACATTACTGTGGAAGGTCACGTGACTAGGCCAACGTGCTTGTACACTTTTTGCCTTTTTTTCAAAGGAATTTGTGCAGCTTTGGTAGTTCTGGAATCCCAAAGGAAGCAGAGAATCATGAATATTTAGAAAGCACGTTGCTGTGCTTCATAAATTTCATTTTTCCCCGCTTCTTTTTAAAGCTGTGGAATTGCCATGGTAAGGCCACAGATACCAACAGTCCTGAATTTGCCAAGGCAGATTTGATTTACTGCGGATGCCCAGTAACTCAAAAAGGCATAAATTGCAGGGATCATGGCTGTGGGTGGGGCCAAGCCCTAAAATGGCCATTACTGAGTGCAACCACCTGGAAAGTGAGCTGATAAAATGCAGACCACGGACTTAGCAAAGTGGTTGTAATCCCCCACCTATACCCAGTGAAGTAACTGGCCTCAGGTGATACAGAGATGAAACAAATCCTCCTACATGGGTTGTACCTGTTTATCTGCAGTATTATCTTTTCTACAGCTGTTCAAATGCATAATTTTTAAGGCTTGTCTGAGAGTTCAGAAAAAAGGAGGTGAAGACACACCCCCTTCCACACAGAACTCTAGAACACAGCTGAGGCTGTCCGCCTGCTGCAGCAGACAGAAATGGCACTTTGCTTTGGATGGAGACAAGTTCATAGTATAGAGGGGGTATGCTTTGTTCATATTTCATGTCTGCGGTTTACAACCACTTGAAGTGTCCTGGGATCTGGAGCCATTATGTTGCTCAATTTGGGATCACCTATATTGCTGCTCTCTAAATGCTACCCTGTATGAGTGTGAGACTGTAATGTTACCCCTCCGCCTGTAAATGTGACTTGTTTTGAAAATTGTTGATTTGTTTTTGGGGTTTTTTTTACAGTATATAACAAACATTAAAAATAAGTGGTTAATGAACAGTAGTTGTGTTAAAAATATCTGTTTTTGTATTCTTTTCTAGTCTGTACATGTGTGGTTCACAAGCGCTGCCACCAGCTGATAGTGACGGCCTGCACATGTATGAATAGCACAGCTAAAGTGGAAAAAAAGGTGACGTACAATGCTTCTTTTTCTTTTTTTTTTCTACTTTTCAGCCTATTCTGGTCTCTACGTCTCATTCTCCACAACCACATCCTGTCTGTCAGTATCAGAATTATATTTTAAACTAAAATTTTTCCCCTGTACCTATAGTTAGATACTCTTCATAGTGCTTAGTAATTTAGCTCTTTCCTCTGCAGTCATATGCTCACTGAAGGGGCAAGATAATTGCTTTACCTACCTGCTGTTATGATTATATATAATTATGATTTTATGATTATTATCTTATTATTTGTCATTTTTTTTGCCATTTATATTGTTTTAGTTCTGCAGTATCATTATTTACTTCTTGGCTAAAGAATGGATAATAAAAGGTGTGCTGGGAGGAAGAGAAATTGTCATATAACCAGTTATAAGTCATGTGATTGGTGGTGTCCTCCAATCCATGAGTGTTCTTTGCAGCATTATGCGGAGAACACACTGCAGAACATCAGCATATCCACTCTTCACTCTGGATTTGTAAATTACTAGCACGGTGTGGACTATTTCCAGCAATGCCCTGCAGTTCACAGATATGGGGTACTTTGGGTTTTTATAAATAGACCCATTTGTATTCTTGTATGGTTATTTACAGCTGACGTGCAGCTAAAAAATAAAAAACACATGTCATGAAGGCAGCTGGGTGCTGGAGAAATCTTCACTGCGGGGATGCCCTATCCTTTTCCTGTCTCTGAACTTCCAGCACTGGTTAACTCCTGCAGGTTTTCAGACAGAACAGCAATACAGATAGTCCGACGGGGACATGTCCCCTCCTTCCTTCCCCTCTATTGAGAAAAGTTTTTTTTTTGCTGATAACAATAACCGTGTCTGTAACACAATCTGTGAATGCATGTGTCACCTTGTGCAGGTAGCTGTATCCTGGAGATTTCTTCACTGCAAGGATGCCCTGTCCTCTTCCTGTCTCTGAATTCCCAGTTAAGCAGTGTTTACCAGCTTCAGGTCTTCAGGCAGAATATCAGTACAGATAGTATATTCACAGATTGTGTTACAGGCAGTGTTATCAGTGTGAGATTTTTCTCGATAGAGGGGCAGGAAGGAGGGGGTGATGTCCCCGTCGGACCATCCGTACTGCTGTTCTGCCCGAAGACCTGAAACTGTTAACCATTGCAGCACTGGAAGTAATGAGCCAGGAAAAGGACAGGACATCCCTGCAGTGAAGATTATTCCAATATCCAGCTGCCTGCACAAGGTGAGACATACTTTATTACTGGTGAGTGAAGTGACTAAAGCTGTCTAAGATACTGCTTTGCTGTCATATCTTTAGAGTTTTCCTCTTTATATTTACATCTTTCTCTATCATCAGATCTTTGAACAAAGATTTGGGATCAATTTACCACACAAGTTCCGCGATCACAATTACAAAGTGCCAACGTTCTGTGACCACTGTGGATCTCTCCTATGGGGGTTGATGAAGCAAGGACTACAGTGTAAAAGTAAGATACACTGAACAGTTATTTGAGAGATCATTGTTTTTATGTAGTTATTGCAGAATGCTTTTTGTTTCTTGTAACTGAAGCATCTTAGGGACTAATGTACAGTAAGTATGCTAGCAACATCATTACTTGCTGCCATCAGCAATCAGTCTGCTCTTTATGGTCATGTCTGAAGCTGAGGATGAAACACCAGTTATGTTATTCTTCCTGCATTAGTGTGTTTCAGAGTAGACCAGATCATGTCCATAGAGGTTCCATACGTTCTTCTAGTTTGCCGATAAGCAAAGATTTCATCTGGTAAAATGGCCTTCTGAATATAACAGTGTAATTTTGATGATCACACTCGCATACACTGTGAGGTAGTTATCACAGTCCTTCCTGATACTGTATGGATACCTGTACTCAGGGCTGCCAATATTTTCAAATATTGTGCAAAATATAGTTATATGTTTTATATTAATGTACAAAATCAATCTGTAATCTCTGCAAGTATTGTGGTTGATGCAGGGATTGCAGTATGATTCTCACCACTCTGGCAAGCCAGCGGGGAGTACACATAATAAAGTACAACCAAAATGCAAAAAAAAAAAAAATGCAATATGTATTACCATGTAAAAAAAACAATATATATGTATAGATTTATTTATTTCACACACTGATCAGCCATGAATTATGACCAACGAAATGTTAGGTGAATAACATTGATCATCTCGTTGCAATGGTATCAGAAGGTCGAAGGGATATATTAGGCAGCAAGTAGACATGTTGTCCCTGAAGTTGTGTTGGAAGCATCAGAACCAGACCACGGAGCATTGGAAGAAGGTGGCCTGGTCTGATGAATCACGGCTTCTTTTACATCATGTGGATAGCTGGGTGTGTGTGCATCACTTGCCTGGGAAAGAGATGGCACCAGGATGCACTATGGGAAGAAGACAAGCTGGCAGAGGCAGTGTGATGCTTTGGGCAATGTTCTGCTGGGAAACCTTGGGTTTTGCCATCCATGTGGATGTTGCTTGACACGTACCACCTACCTAAACATTGCTGCTGACCAAGTACACCCCTTCATAGATACAGTATTCCCTAATGGCAGTGGCCTCTTTCAGCAGGATAAATCGCCCTACCACACTGCTAAAAAGAATGACTTGAGGAACACAACAAATTTGAGATGTTGACTTGGCCTCCAGATTTCAATGCAATATCTGTGAGTATCTGTGAGATGTGCTGGAAAAAAAACTAGTCCATCTGGCTTGGTGCCAGATACCATAGCATTTGTTCAGAGTTCTAGTAGAGTCCATGCTTCAACAGGTCAGGGCTGATTTGGTGGAAAGAGAAGGACCTGCTCAACATTGGGTGGGTGATCATAAAGTTATGGTTGATTGGTGTATGTGTGTGAGATAGATAGAGATATATAGATATATACAGTTGTGACCAAAAATTATTCAACCCCCACTGAAATTGAGTGTTTTGGCCAGTTTGACATTGCTTTTGATCATTCAGTCATCTTGCTTACATTTACATTAAAGAGGCACTTGTAGGTCAGACAAATATAACATAACAGTTATAATGAAATAACCACAAATGTCTTTTCTGTGCTCACAGCATTATCAGTTTTATTCAACCCCCAAGTGACATTCAATCTTAGTACTTAGTACAGCATCCTTTTACAGTTATAACAGCTTTTAAACGTGAAGCATAGCTTGACACAAGTGTCTTGCAGCGATCTACGGGTATCTTCGCCCATTCTTCATGGGCAAAGGCCTCCAGTTCAGTCACATTCTTAGGCTTGCGCACTGCAACTGCTTTCTTTAAGTCCCACCAGAGGTTCTCAATCGGATTTAAGTCTGGTGACTGCGATGGCCACTCCAAAATGTTCCAGCCTTTCCTCTGCAACCATGCTCTAGTGGACTTGGAGGTATGCTTGGGATCATTGTCCTGTTGAAAGGTCCAACGTCTCCCAAGCCTCAGGTGTGTGACGGACTGCATCACGTTTCCATCCAATATCTCCTGGTACTGAAGAGAATTCATGGTACCTTGCACACGCTGAAGCTTCCCTGTACCTGCAGAAGCAAAACAGCCCCAAAGCATGATTGACCCTCCACCATGCTTCACAGTAGGCAAGGTGTTCTTTTCATCATAGGCCTTGTTCTTCCTCCTCCAAACATAGCGTTGATCCATGGGCCCAAACAGTTCTAATTTTGTTTCATCAGTCCACAGAACACTATCCCACAACTTTTGTGGTTTGTCCACATGGCTTTTGGCATACTGCAGTCGACTCTTCTTATTCTTTGGAGACAGCAAGGGGGTACGCCTGGGAGTTCTGGCACGGAGGCCTTCATTACGCAGTGTGCGTCTTATTGTCTGGGCTGAAACTTCTGTACCCACATCTGACAAATCTTTTCTCAGTTCCTCAGCAGTCACACGGGGACTTCTCTCCACTCTACGCTTCAGGTAGCGCACAGCAGTCGAAGTCAGCATCTTCTTTCTGCCACGACCAGGTAGCGTTTCAAACAGTGCCCTTTGCCTTGAATTTGCGAATGATGCTTCCTAAGGTGTCTCTTGGTATGTTTAACATCTTTTGCAATCTTCTTATAGCCATTGCCCTTCCTGTGAAGAGAAATCACCTCTTCTCTTGTCTTCCTGGACCATTCTCTTGCCTTCACCATGTTTGTAACCACACCAGTAAATGTCTAGAAGGAGCTGAGTATCACAGTCATTTTAAAGCTGCCTAATTGGTGCTTATTATGCTTGATTGCTGCTCGGTGACATCCACAGGTGTTTTCAATACCTGATGGAAAGCACCTGTATGAACCTCTGTTCTTCAGAGTGGTAGTCTTTAAGGGGTTGAATAATTGTGGCAATGAAGAAACCACATAAGAACCATTTACTACTGTATTACATAAACAATTGATGTCATTTTAGTTGCATTTGGGTAGTTACAACGTCCTTGTAGGATTTGATTCTGAATACAATTCCAAATGTACACTATAGTCCCTAAACCCCTTTACAGCATTGGGGGTTGAATAATTTTGGTCACAACTGTATAATATACACATGCATACATACGCACAATAAAAACTCCTGTAAAAACCTACCTACCATACCTGAAAGCCACAAACACCTATCAGAGTATTTTCATTATACTCTTTAAAAGAGTTGAGTCTCCATATACCCTGTACCATAAATGGTGAAAAGTACCTACACTCATCACAAAAATTTAGTATAAACATGTATGAGTGCTGTAAAAGGTACCAGAAGTAGGCTAGAGAAGATGGCATAAAGTAGAATAGAAGTACAAATAATGGCAACAAGGCATAAATATGGTAAATACCAAGCCAAAAAAAAGTTAAAGAAGAAGTTCACCTTTTGGACAAAAATGATAAATGCACATTTTTTCTGCAGGTAAAAAAATTTGCAATTTTTTTTTTTTGCCCAAAGGAGCCTGGAAAGCATTGCACCAGTGATCAGTAGATCGCTGATTCCATGCAGGTCTCCTGCAGACCTGTCAGA